AGGCAGACGTGGTGCTGGAGAAGGAGCTGAAGTCCTGTATCTTGACTCGCAAGCCACAGGAAGTGGTCTGAGTGTCACACTGAGTGAAGCTTGAGCAAAGAAGACCTCAAAGCCCACACCCACCATGACACACTTCCTCCGACAAGACTACACCTACTCCAACAAAGCCACACTTCCTAATAATGCCACTCCCCATACGCTTATAGGGGCCATTTACATCCAAACTACCACAGACAGGAAAGTCAAGGGCTCAAACCCACCCACTCCACCGGCAGCATTAAGATGCCATCCACTGTTGGTAGATAACAGTGCGCATTTTTGTCCAGACAGTTCCTAACCTTATGCCTCTTTCTGCAGAGCACCAAAGCTTTGCTGCACAGAGGCTGGGAAAAGAATGTCATCCCACTAAACCATGGTCACCCCATGAAGGCAGGGCATCTGGTTTCCACCCAAAGGTGCTGGCTTGATTTCTGGGTTACTCACTGTAGACAGGAATCAAAGCAGTACTTGGGTTTCCATAACAAGACTTGCATTTTCTTAAGGGGCCAGATGACTCCAGTTTTAGTCTTCTCCTTGCACTGTATTTTGATTCACTAATATCTTACTCTTTTAGCTATCTGATTCCTTTAGGGAGAGCGGAAAGTATTCTTTTTATCTAATCAGTGGAGAAAGGGATGTCACAGTGGCCCTGCTTGCCTTGGTTCTGGCTATGGAAGATCCACTGGTATGTCAGCTTTGGTCAGTTCCATGATGCCTACATTACTGTGGTGGGCTACAATCTTATTTATGGTCATAATGTCCACAACATTTTTAGTCAGAGACAGACTCACTTGTTACAGTGAGATGTCTTAATGACTTTCTGTGGTGATGGGCTCCAGTCTCCCTGCACAGAACTCTCAGATAGCAGGACATATTTACTATTGTAGACTATGTGCAAGTTGATAATAGGATGACGGTCAAGGCAACAGGGTCACATTTTGATTTTGTCATATTTGTTTTCAAAGTTGAGAGAGGGAGGAGGGGAGGGAGGGAAAGAATGGTATCGTTCTGCAATGCATTGCTATTGCTAGAATACAGGTGGGAAGCAGAGGCCCAGGACCCCATGGACAGGCAGAGTGGGACTTTTCTCTGCAACCTGAGGGAAAAAGAATAATGTTTGAATTTTGTTGAAAATACAGACTAAAGAAAAATGTACTAGTAAGACTAGCCTGGAGTTCTAGTTCCTGCAGAGGTGGCTGCATTATACAGAGGACTGACACCTCATAAGCAACCATCTAGACTAGACCCTCTCCTGACCATGCTGTCCTTGGGGCTCACGAACTTTCCATGAGCGTCTTGACTGTTTGGAGTTTTATCACAGGGGTGAACATACCCTTTGTCCTCAAAGCTGAGCATCATCTGAGAGGACATGATGGCTCACAAGACTATGAACATAAATTGAGACTATCGTGAGAAAGCCATAATTATCTCCTAAGTTTCCATGATAAATCCAAATGCGTTAAAGCAGACTATAACATACACCTTACCTTCTCTCCCACACACCAATAAAACCCTGGTGTTATCTTTACTGCAGAGGCTAGATACTTCGTCATACTTAGCAGAAAAATTAGTGTTGCTTCGTAAGGAATGATTTTTATAACCTGAGTCTCCGCAGGATGAGTGTGTGCTTTCGTTTTTACATTACACACGGACATTGTGCTCAGTTTTCTGTTCTGTGATGAGAACTGGAGCTTGATTTGTGTGCGGCCTTCATTACCCAGGGCTTGTTGCTAGGGTGAAATTCCTGTCAATCACAGCTGTCAAACGGCAGCCGCTCTTACTCGTGGGTGAACACATGCCAGGCCCTGCGCTAAGAGCTTTGTTCTGTCAGTCCACATTCCAGCCCCGACGGAGGGCTGTTATCATCGCTGCACTTGTCCAAAAGCCAGGGCACACTGGCGTGTACACAGCCAGTGTGGTCCTTACACCTATCTAGGGGGGTTGTCTATATTCTAGCGCCTTCTCCGGTTTCCTCTGATGAGATCTGATAAAAGACATGTCACCTGTATGTCTGGCCCCTGTTCCATGCTCTCTCCGAGCCCAATCTGTCTGTTGTTCGTTCTTGGCACATCTCCCACACAGCTGTGGTTTGCTGACTTCTGTAGGAGCCCCGTCATGTTGCAGGGAGCTGTTGAATCTGGTGTTGTAGCCTCTGAGCTGCTGTCTGTAGCTCGGGAGATGTGATTTTAGTTCAAGCACTGTGAAAACATCATACACATTTGAAGTAACTTTTTTGATATTTTTTAATTTTTTTATTGAGTTATACATTTTTCTCCACTTCCCTCCCATCATCCCTTCTCCTCTTCTCCCCTCTCCCGTGACCCCCCACACTCCCAATTTACTCAGGAGATCTTGTCGTTTTCTATACCCATGTAGTTTAGATCCATGTATCTCTTTCTCCTCTTTGTTGTCTAGTTTCTCTGGGGTTGTAGCCTGTAGACTGGTTTTTCTTGGCTTTATGTTTAAAAGTCACTTATGAGTGAATACATATTAGTCTTTCTGTGTCTGGGTTACCTCTCTCAATATGGTTTTTTTCCAGATCTATCCATTTGCCTGCAAATTTCAAGATGCCATTATTTTTTAACACTCTGTGGTACTCCATTGTGTAAATCTACCACATTTTTTTTTATCCATTACTTGGTTGAGGGGCATCTAGGTTGCGTCCAGATTCTGACTATTGTGAATAATACTTCTATGCACATAGTTAAGCACATATCCTTGAGGAATGATTGAGCTTCCTTTGGGTATATACCTAACAGCAATACTGCTGAGTTTGGGGTAGATTGTTTCCTAATTTTCTGAGAAATTGCCATACTGGTTTTCAAAGCAGTTATACATGTTTGCACTCCCACCAGCAATGGAGGAGCATTCCCCTTACCCCACATCCTCTTCAGCATAAGCTGTCATCAGTGGTTTTGATCTTGGCCATTCTGACAGTGTAAGATGGAATCTCAGAGTTGTTTTGATTTGCATTTCTCTGATGGCTAAGGATGTTGAGCTTTTCCATGTCTTTTAGTCCTTTGAGATTCATCTGTTGAGAGTTCCCTGTTTAGGTCTGTACCCCATTTTTTTCATTGGATTATTCTTTTGATGTCAAGTTTGAGTTCTTTGTATATTCTGGATAACAGTCCTCTGTCTGATGTGGGGTTGGTTAAAAATCTTTTCCCATTCTGTAGGCTGCCACTTTGTCTTGTTGACCATGCTCTTTGCTTTACAGAAGCTTCTCAGTTTCAGGAGGTCACATTTATTAAATTTTTCTCTAAGTGCCTATGCTCCTAGGGTTCTATTTAGGAAGTGGTCTCCTGTTCCAGTGCATTCAAATGTACTTCCCACTTTCTCTTCTATGAAGTTCAGTGGGGTTGGTTTTATGCTGAGGTCTTTGATCCATTTGAACTTGAGTTTTGTGCATGGAGACATATAAATCTATTTTCATTCTTCTACATGTTGATATCTAGTTATTCCAGCACCACTTGTTGAATATGCTTGCTTCTTTCCATTTTATATTTTTAGCTTCTTTGTCAAAAATCAAGTGTTTGTGGGTGTGTGGATTGATATCCAGGTCTTTGATTTGATTACATTGATCCTCCTGTCTGTTTTTATGCCAATACCAGGCTGTTTCACTACTGTAGTTCTGTAGTAGAGATTGAAGTCAGGGATTGTGATGCCTCCAGAAGTTCTTTTATTGTACAGAATTGTTTTGGCTATCCTGAATTTTTTGTTTTTTCATATGAAGTTGATTATTGTTCTTTCAAGGTCTTTGAAGAATTTTGCTGGGCATTGCATTGAATCTGTAGAGTGCTTTTGATATGATTGCCATTTTTACTATGTTAATTCTACCTACCCAAGAGCATGGGAGATCTTTCCATTTTCTGGTGCTGATGTTTGGGTCCTGATGGACACATGATCTACCAAGTCCCGAGGTAGTGCAGGTTTTGTGTGACTTTTAAGGTGTGTTTTGCTGTGTAGCCTCAATGCCTGGGACCACACGTGTGTCCCACCATGCCTCATCATGCAAGTGCATCCGCTCATTTAATGACCAGGACATCCTATAAGGGATTCTAACTCTGATCCTCAGGGTCCTTTTTCCCTGCAATGATGGGGCCAAGAATGGAAAGTGTCATGCTGACCAGACCTATCCTGGACCCAGGAGGGTTTGTACAGTATTTGCTGACTGACTTTCGCCAGGGGCAGAGAGGAAGGTACCCCAGGAGATACCTCAAGGGGTCTTAGATTTCCATGAAGCATTTAAAGTTGCCACACGAATAACTGCTGGTATATTAATTATCGATGTGCTGGGAGCATCTTACATGGTCTTTTATTTAAGCCTTGTACCAGGGCTACAGGATAGATTACTCTATTTTCCAGAGAGGTAGACTTGTGTGAGTCCCTTTGGATATAACTCAATGTAGCATAGCTCTCAGTTCTCACTCTGACCCCTTGGCCAGGAGCCCATCACTCCATAGTGTCCTCACAGACCTTCACTTGTCCCACAAGTCACTGCTTGGCTCCTTTCTACAGATAATGCAACAAGTTGGACAAATTACAAAGCAGTCTGACTATCTTTTTCAGATCCTGACCCCAGGAGGATGGCTGTCTTCTAAATCCTGTGCATCCCCAGTTTAGCTAGTCCTTTATAAACTGGAGAGTGTCTGAAAGCATGGGTCGATTTATAACAATCCCCTGGGGGCACTGACAGAGAACCCTACCATCCACTATACCCCTAAGACTTGTGAGGTCAGATGACCCACATAGGAGTGTACCTACATGATTCTTTTAAATGTTACAGAAAATTCCACATAAAGGCTAAATACAGGCCCTACTTAGTATTGTAGAAAGGTTATGAATCAGAGATGAAGCCAGCACTGGGTAGCAATGTGCGGTGCCTTCCAGGAGACTACTGGGTCCCGGGGTCCAGTTCTGACCACAGAGTTGAGTCACATGTGATCTGTTGTCTGTTGCAGGGCACCCACAAACCCAGCCCTCCTCAGAAGCCTCTGCCTGCTGATCCATTGAGCAGGGCATCTCGGCTCACTAGTGCCTTGGTGAGGACCCCAGGGCAGCAAGAGCCTGGGTTCTGCCCAGCCCCAAACAGGTAGGTGTCCTCTAATGGTGGAGGGTAGCTGAAGTAACCACACTGGAGGTGTGGCAGGTTTCAGGTGTTAAATCGTGTTTCCTGCTTGGCCCCAGCATGGTGAGGATGGGAGAGATGTGTAAAAGTAACCAGAAAGCAACCAATGCAAACTACATCTATGCACACCTAAATATCACCCCAGGGCTCTCAGCAATGGCTCACTTACTTGAGAGATCAGAGCAGGACGAAGATGACCCAGGAAAGATGTGCTGCTGACATGGGTCCAGCCTGGTCTCCTACAGGCACTAAGGAAAACAGTTTATCTGTATAAAGGCAGGACCTCCACCACCCTCACCAAGACTTGTTCTGCCTACTCCAGGGGCTGAGACACTAGTTCAGGTTGAGAGTTTATGGAGAGGGGAGGCCTAAACAGCTGCTCAATAGGGTCGCCCTGGGGGCTTCTCTACAGTTGAGTGACCTGTGTTGGCTCTCTCTGGCTGTGGTCCTCTTCACCCCTCTCCCATAGGGGATGAGGCAGATGTAGCCCAGATTCTATTTACATGGGGAGAGGGAACCCACAGCTGTACTGAAGCTGGCTCGTGCCTTTGAAACCTAGCCAATATTAAAGTATATCAAGTTGCATTTAAAACAAGGGTAATGAATACTCAAAACATTGCTCCCAGATCCTTGCTGCTGAGGTTACTCACATCAGGGGTCTCTACGGGGGAATCCATGGCATGCTGGGTGCTCTCCCATCTTCCAGGTTTGCTGGTGCCACAGTGTAGCCGGGGGCATTAACAACATGGAAATCAGCAAATGCCGCAGCTCAGCCTCTTCCTCAGTGAAATTATTCCCTTGTGGGTCTTTGGTTGTTTTGTTTTTCCTTGGTTCCTGGGCTAAAACGTGCTAGGCAAGCACTCCATAGCCCAGCATTCGTCTCCCTAGTAGCCAGGTTGACATGAGTCACTCGATCCTTCACCCTCCTTTGGGATGGGACTAGAGGAGTGAGCTACCATGCCTGGCTAGCAGATCATTAAACTCACGGCCCACTCATCTGACTCATGTGCCCTCTAGCAGGCCATGAGCTCTCTGAGCACCAGAGAACCAAAGATACTGTTAGCCAAGCTGCACGCTTAGTAACTCCCATCTCCGCAGGGGAGACGCACGTCATTGATTCATTACAGCTCTTGGGAAGAATGTGTTGGCCTAGGAAAGAAAGGGCTGCCTCATAAATCTCAGAGATAATGCCGGCCAAAGGGTCAGGAGAACAGTCTAGCTCACCACAGTGGAAATGCAGAAAAAGTTGCATAGCTTTTGAGTTACTTTTTTATATTTCACTAGATAAAACTACTGCACAGACATGATAAGGGTGACCGAGGGGCACTCCTTTTCAGAACGTCTACTGATGGCAGCCTGGCTCCCCATCTCTTGAGCTGTGCCCACTAAGCATGTTGGAGCTGGTTCAAAACTGAAATAAAAGTGTAAACGTGTGCCAGATTTCGAACACTTAATTCTGCCCCTGTTGATTCTCCCAGTTATGTGTGCTGATTGTATACTAAGATGATGATACAGCGGTAAAATTGAGCTCACCTGTGCCACTTGGTTGTTAGAAACATAGAATTTGAGGCCGGAGAGAACAGCTCAGTGGTTAAGAGCACTTGCTGTTCTTCCAGAGGGCTGGAGTTCCGTTGCCAGCGCTCCCATTGGGTGACTCACAAAGATCTGTAACTGCTCCAGAGGGATCAGAAGTGCCCTCTTCTGGCCTCCACATGCACCTGCACTCACATGCAGAGACATTACAGATATATAAATCTAAAAAGAAAAACTAGGGATTGTCTGAGCGATTCGTGTCCCTTTTTCTGCAAATGGCGCTAGTCTAGAATCAACTCATGGATGGGAGGCACAGCTCCAGAGAGGGGAGGTGGCCTGTCACAAATCAGTAGGACTTCTGCAGTGAGGTCCTTGGTGTGCTCTGCACTGTCTCCCAAAAGCTAGCCTGGCCTCCAGTCTCAGGTGGAGATCGGTGGCTTCTAGCCTGGGAGACCCACCAGTCTACAGGAACAGCCTCCCGCCCAGCTTTTGTGTCTATAGAACGGCTTCGGAGAGTCTAACTGCAGTTTTGTTTTCTCCTCTCTGGCTTGCTCCTGATTCAGACCTGCTCCTAAGCACCAAGTGCCCAGATCTTCCCACAAGGCCTACATCAAGTGATGAGCGAGCCCAGACTGGTCCTAACAGTGAGGACAGAAGTTTGCACTATCTTCAACTCCCTCGGAGTGACTTCTTTCTAGACCAACTTTCAGAATCTTCAAAGTGTTTAAAATGCCATTGTTTCCGGAACTTAGAGCTACTGCCGTCGGTGCTGTGCTGTGGTGCTTTGTGTCCTTGCTCAGGTACTTGTAAGTTATTAATTTATGCAAAGTGTCTATTACCGCGCAGGGCGCCGTAGCAGGCATTTGTGCCATCACGGGGTTTTCTACAGGAGGCTCCTTGTGCTTTCGTTCTTCTGGCGGACTTGAATTATCCTGCTTGATGGGATCCAAGACGAGATGTTTACTTTCTGTTTGAGGCCTTATTGGAAAACAGCTCCCCAGCTCCCCAAGGCTGTGTTACAGTACCAGACGCACAGCTCAGGATACCCCAAGCAGAACCTGGAATGAGGTTTTTTTATTATTATTATTTTCTTGGAATCCCTCTCTTGGACTGCAGCCAGGGCCTTAAGAAAGGTCTTGGGCCCTACACACTGACAGGGATTCAGGCTCTGTAGGTCTGCACCCTGAAGCTCTCAGACAGCTGGTAGGATCTGGTTCTGGCCAGCAGCTTTGGAGAAAACCTAGAGTACTTAGCAAGAAGGCTGAGGTGTGGCCACACCAGGATAGAGACTGGAACCCTAGTTCAGGCAGACAGCTGACTTTGAGCTGAGAGGCCATGAACACCTTTGGAGGAAAAAGAAGTCTGTGATGCCCCCCAAGGCTTTGCTCCCAGAGCCAGCAGGAGCTTCTCTCTGGCTGCCCTTGTGCACAGTGCTGGCATGCATGGGCATGTTGTTTACATTGGGAACAGTGGTGTTTCTGCGAGAAAGCCACTGCCCAGGCACTGCAGTCCTCTGTCTCCTGCCCTGCTCCGAGCTAAGCAAATTGCCACATTGTCTTCTTGACTGTAATACAATGACCCTGTGTTCTGACAGATAGAGGCGGCTTTTCTATGGGACCATAAACATTTTCAGATGTGAGCCGGTAACCAGATCTAGTCGATCAACCCTGGAGATAAAAATCTCCTTTTTTACTGCAAGGCTCGACTTATTAAAAATTAGGCAGAATCCATATGCTTGCAAAAGTTATAACCACATGGAATGTAATTCTCATCGTACAGCCGTGTCTGCTGTCCTTAGTAGTCACGGGACAAAGAACCCAAAGTCACCCATCTGCTCTCTTCAGGGCATCCTGTCTTCTGCCACATAGCATCGCAGTCTTGCCCACACTAGGAACATACCTGTTAACTCCTCATAGGATGACAGAGACATCAGTTCCCCAATGCTGAAGGCTCACGAAAGGCAGACTTAGCCAGGAAACCCTTCCATCTTTCACTCTTTCAATGCCTGGCTGGAAAGCCACCTTCAGGAACAGATCTTTAAGATGCCTCAAGCTAATGTTGTGAAAGATATTTTTAAAAATGCAAGGCAAGTTCCAGAGGCCATCACTGTGTCCTGGCGAGGTGTGGGGTGACCAACTTTCCCATTAGAAGGTAACTGACATTGGTTCTGTAGCATCTGAGTATTTTAGGATCAGGCTTCTTCTGGAAGGGTAATATCGATGCTTGCCCTACGTCTAGAAGCCGAAGAGGAAATACAGACTTAGAATTTATTTTGCTCTCCAGAATTAAAAACTGTATTCAGCCTTGGGAAACACACGGCCTTTGAAGACAGTGGATAAATAGATCCACATCACAGATGCGCAAGCGAACACTCATAGGCTGCCTCTTTTCACGGCACAGTGACAGTTTCTCGCCTGCCGGGACACGTGCAGAGTTTTTGCAACTGATGTGAGGTTGGGCAGTTGTATTAAGTCCAAACTTACACAACTGGAAAAGTTCCAGAGCTATGTGAGCATGGTCACACTCAAAGGTTTAGTTGGAACAGGTGATGAGCCCACCCTTTGGGTGGAGTGAGAGGGAAGCTACAAACCCACATTTCTTCTGTCATTTCTGTACTTTGGCTTTGGAGTACCAGGGAGAGTTTGATTTAAGTGAAGTTGGAACCACGCTCTTCTGTCATCTCCCCAGTGGCTACCAAGGGTGCCAACGGTGCCATCACAGCTGAGCGGTGCTGTCTGCTTGTTTTCCAGAGCTATGCATCCGTTTCTGGATAAGAACATTGTTAATCCTGATATTCCCTTATAGGACAGACAGTATTATTAAAAAAAAATACCTCTAAGATACAGTAGTTATCAAATAAAGCATATTTAGCAATAACCTCAATTTTAACAACACTTAGGAACCAATAAGCAACATCGGGGTTTATTGAGAGAGCATAGTTTGTCTCTCCCTTTCCACAGCCTTTAAATGACAGAGACCAAAATGAATACTCGCAGTTCAATTGCAGTCTATCTTATGCTTAAACACACTGTACACATGATTAGTCTGTTGAGTTTTCTGAGACCATCCCTGAGAAAGTCCGGTAGAGTGGTCCAGTACCCAGACATGAGGCATGGCCGGATGTCCTCATGTCCTTCCTGCACCAAGGTGATGTGACCCCCACTTTAGGGAGGAGTTGAACCTTGCTGGCATTCCACTTAAGAGCTGGTCTCCTACAGTATTCCCAAGTCTGCTTTTCCAGTACGTGGGATCAGATGAAGAGCAACAATGCATTTTTCCATTTCAAAATATGCATGCCGAGTTTGCGCTCTCTGTGTGAGCGTTTCCAGCTCACACATGTGGGATGACATCACAGAAACCACACAAGCAACAAATTAAACTCGACGGGAAGAAATACTCCTGACTGGTCTCTGAGGAGACGTTTTTATGCCTTCTTAACTTTATTAGGAATTCTCAGACTGAAGCTCTGGGTCATTGTTCTCCAACAAATCAATACAACCCATCAATGCATTCCCTAGGAACTGCCAAAGCCTCGGCTGTGTCTGAACGTTCTTAGGAGCCTGTGATCCCCATGGTGCTACAAAGAGGCTGGAGCTGGGCCAATGAGAAGGCCTGAGCATCCTCCTGCCTCTCCGCAGATGTTTACTGAGCACTCTGAGCCAGCGCCACCCTGACAACCGGGAGGACCATGGCTGGGCAGCAGGGCGCCTGGCCACTAGCAGCTCTTTCCTCTGAGGCTTGCTTCATGTTTTAATTCTCTTAGATCAGGCCCTAGCCCAGGGACACTTAGTCTACAGATCCTCCCCCACTGTTCTCAGATGCCCTCGGTCATACACAAATGACCGAGACTAAGAGACACCAACAGGCCCAGAAGCCCCCCAGAACCAAGAGCTGGGTGTTTTGAGCAGTATGGCAAGTGGGCAAGGATACTGGGAGGTCGTTTATTCTCTCGTCCACTCCTACTTCCGCCACACAACTCAGCAGTGGCTCCATCACACAAAGTACACAGGAAAACACAGGCACCAATTTGTCTTCCTCTCTTGCCAATCACAAGTGCCTTACTCTGGGCAGACCCCATGCCAAAGCCTCCCTCATCCAAGACAGCCAAGTCTCTACCTTTGTCACCACTTCAAGCCAAAGTGGCAGTGTGTGGCTACCCTTCAAGGTTCACCTACCAGACAGTCCAGTCCAGCTTTCTCCAGAGTCATAGCATAGAGCTGCCCCCCCCCAGCACACACCAGGCTTGAACCTATCCCACAGCATATCAACCACAGTGACCTCTCTCCTAGTGCCTTGCTCTAATTAGAAGGTAGAGTTGGCCATAGAAAATCAAGTTAGCACTGACTACAAAATGCTGTTGCTGCAACTTGAATTTCCCACTGGCATCTCTTGCTTTTAAACTCTAATGAAGTAAGTAAATCTCCCAGATCTGTGAGCCCCATACTCAGGACCACTGGGCAGTGTCAACCCTTGCAGGGGACATTAGTGCAGACATGAACGGACCATTTCTGTGCCTTTTGTGTAGAACAACATACAAGCATACATTCTCTCTCTCTCACTCATACACATACACATACATACACACACACACACACACACACACACTTACATACTTACATTAGGGAAATAGAAGTTTATTGTCAAGCCATTGCAAGCTTTTCTCATATGAGAGAAACTAGGAAAAGAAACAGCATTAGGAAATTGTTGGGATGCTCGATAATGGGTAGAGATTGGCGGGAGGCCTAACACTCATCAACTGGAAAGTGATTTGGCCCCTGCCACCCACCTGCCTTCTATACCTTCAAAGATTATGTTCTGTGTTATCTGTAATTCTCCAAGAAAGTAACATTTTAGTTCCTAATTTAGCACATTTAAATCGAGACAGATTCAGTATCATGTGACTTCCTTGCAAACAAGTCAAATGCTGGGTTATCTTACCTGGCCTGTACATTGGTACTTCATAAGGCAGTGACTGGAAAACACACACACACAAATTTCGTGAGACTCCAAGGCAGAATTCTTGGAACTAACAGTCCTCCTATCAGGGCAATTTGGTAATGGTTGGAAAGTCAGCCATCTGTATGCGGCAACAACCAATGTAACTCTTACCACAAGCTGCTTAGCTCCTTTCTGATTAATCATACATCTCGGGTAACCCACACAGTTGTTCTGCAGGGCTTCATCCATTGATAGCGCTTTGATAAACTCATTTTTCACCTTTGTATGTTACATGTGGTTATTTTTGTACGCATTTCTCATATGGGGGATCTACAAGTAAATACAGCCTACTAGTTCAGTAGAAAATGTCATTGTTAAGAATATTATACCCAATAAACAGTAAACAGATAAGTATTGCGTGTCTCATTTGCTATCGAGAAGCTTGTATAGAAAAATAGAGCTCTGTTTTCATTCGTTTACAAATGAAAGGGCATCTTGGAGCACTGTGCAAGCAACTGAGGAGAAGTGTTGAAAGGCCAAGGTGCACATGCTGCCAATCCTGGGAAGAAAGAAGAGAACACCTGTCAAAACATAGCACTGGTGAGATAGTGGGGGAACCCAATGCCATTTTGAATAGTGTGAGTTCATAACCTAACAAAATAATTTTAAAAATTTATGTTACTTACTGAAAAGTTCAAAAAGTAAGCAATCATCTAAGTATCAGCTTGTCAGCAAAAAACATCTAAATATGAGGGATGTATGCTTACATATTTTTAAAATAGCATCCAACTTCTTAAACAAAACTGCAGAAAACAAAAAAGTATTTATCCTCTCCATATAGATATACACATATATTCAAAATTATAGCAAAAATAAAGGAATCTCTGTTCTTACCACTTAATCCAAGACAAAGCAAGTGAGTCTTAGGATGTCGCCAGGTGACTGACAAATCAAATTCACATACAGCAAACAGGCATTTTAAATGCACAGAATCTGACCTCTGCCCTAGTACCGCTCAGGAGCAAAGAATACATCAACAAACAAGCCAAAAACAAAACAACTGTGTGTCCTAGGAATTCTGCAGCCAATATAACACTGGGAATGGTGGGATGTATATTATGGAATGGTTCTCAGACTCCCAGAATTAGAAGCATTTACCTGTTGTCCTCGTTAAACTACTCCTGTGCCCTGTCTCTGATAATTCAGAGGGTCTGAAAGGAACCCACAGAGGTGGATGGGTGATGCCCCTGTGTCTTAGGATCCAGAAGGCTCAGTGAAAGAAACCCATATGACACTGGAACAAAAGCAGCCCCTCAGGGGAAAACTCAAAGGCACAAATACATAAATTGCTAAACAAAAGAGTTGAGAATAAGTGGGCTTGATGTCTATAAAAGGAACAACAAAAAGCCTTGCATAAAAATAAATAATAACTTTGTAAAAATAAAGCATGTAATTTAATGAGTTAGAAAAACAGAACCATGAGTTACTTGGGGGGAAAAAATAAGCAGGCTGTAAACCACCTCCTAATCATCAGGCCAAATGAACGGCAAAAACTGTAGCCTTTGAGCACGCAGACCCAGCTGTCCACCAGAACCCAGTGCGGCCATCTCAGGAATGTAAACCTGGTTCAGTAGTAAGGCCAGACAGTTGACAATGTCACCAAGCTGGATGCTGGCCAGGAAGGATGTGATGTGTCCTCCTTTCATAGAGAGGCTGGTGAATGCCGTTTGCATCAGACCCAGAGAGGACGGGAAGCTGGGTGGCAATGCTAATCACGAACAAAGCAGAAGATAAGCCCTTATACGAAAGGCAAAATGCCAATGCAGCGTCTACAGCCAGGCTTATACACAGCCCACAGGTCAATCCTCAGACGAATGCTCTATGGCTCTGCAGAGAAGTCCCCTGACAGCTGCCCACATCTGTATCAATGTATAGGTGTTCTCTCTGTGGCTTCCCGAGGATGGAGCCTTGGTTACCTTTTCATTGGTCTTCCCTACTATAAAAAAAAAAAATGCACCCTTGTGAGGGCTTTAATAACTACCTTACGAAAAGGCCAAGTGAACCAGCTCGTCCCCAGAGACCCAAAATGTATGCGGTGCTGCTCGCTTTGCTGGTGTTTAAGCTTGGCCCAGCTAAAGCTTCCCACATTTCTCTCTTTGGGCTCCTAACCAATGGTCTTGGTGGTGGTGGTTAACCCCTCTTTGTCTACAAACTATACGAGGTGCCTCGAAAATCTTGTCTGCTCTCCAAACTAAATGTAATACACTACTCATTGGTGAAGCTGTTCGGTCCTCTGGGGGCTGGGCCTTTTGACCAAAGAGGTGAGTACGTACAAACCCATGAACTGATGGACCTGTCCTCCCAGCACTGCCCTTTGGCTAAACACTGCTAACAGAATGGCACCATCTTCAGATATGTGTTTGTGAGCTTTGACGTGAGGCCAAGGGTCTAAGAGAAAATGCCTGGGTGCTTAGGAGGCACCCCACTGCGGGAGGCCACAGCAGCCTGGACTGCAGTGGGGCAGAAGAGATAATAAGAAACACATGAGAAGAAGGCCAGCAGGTCTGGAGCATCTTGAGGACAGCGTGGGCGGGGGTAGGGAGGAGCACAGGAGTGAGGACCTGTGCTCACATTTGTGTAGCACCAGAGCATAAATATTTGGTTTCATGTCTAACTGCAAAGACACAGGGTAAGAAAACATCCCTGTTCTATGAACGTCCAGTGACGAGACCACATATGCATGTGCTTAGGTAAAAAGATGTATTTCAATGTGGGAAGAGTTGCCTGTTACATAAAAGTCATTGTGAATCTTCAACTAAATAAATAAACGTCTCGGCCTTGGATACTCCACACATCGCATGGCCGGCCCAGCAGTCAGGGTTTGCTCTTTCGCTCCTGTCGGTCTCGCAGACAGGTGACGCTCCTTCCCATCAGTGGACGGTGGACTTCCTTGGCAGCTTTTTTTTCCTTTCTTCTAGTAAGGAGAGTACATTCTAGAAAAACCACATAAAACAGGTTTATGTCCTTCGAGGTTTGGGCGGGTTCTGTGAGTCTGAAAGAACTACAAAAGTCAGCTTGGTTAGGCAGGAGGGAGGTCCTCACCTGTCTGTCAAAAACTCTGGCCATTTCTAGGACACCTTTGCCAAACTGGAAAGAAGTAGAACTTAGTTAATTGGATTACAGATCAGAGTATGCGGTTCTCATGCATGTCTTTCTTCTCGAGGACATTCTCCCAGTAAACATTACCTCGTTTTTCACACTGGCATCTGCCCCTTTGTCAAGAAGCAACTGAACTAGCTGTTCGTGGTTATTTAAGACAGCGACCTGGAAGCAGAGAAGTGTGGTGAGGAGGCTCCTCCCCACCAGAGCAAGTGCAGGTGGGGGGATGGGGGGACGGTTCACCTCCCAAGGCAGCCTGGGCTAGGCCACTGCCCACAGAAGCTCTTCTCTGGCCTGCATCCTGCTGACTGCTAAGCTGCAAACGGGAAATGTTTCTTACCTCTGTCCACACTGAAATGATACAGGACAGGACAGCCCAGGGCAGAAAAGCAGCAAGTTCATTGTTTAAAACAGGTCTACTTTGATCTCACAATGGCCCTGGGAATTGGGGTTGATAGTCCTTAGCAATATTTGGGGGGGATAGTATAGTGTGGGGCACGGGAACAGTGCCTACTCAGAGGCTCAAGTAGACCCCAGGATCCAGGAGTTTGAGGCCGACATGGGCAACATGGTAAGTCCCACTTCAAATATGTAGAGGCTACAGTGACCTTCCACTGCTTGTTAACCGTTAGGTAATACTATGCAACCAAACCCAGGGCTCAGTTATAAACAGCTCAACTCTTAAGCCATGTCTGGTGATAACAAAAACTGAGACCCCAGGTAGAAGGGCATACCATGAGAGGCGTCTTTCCATCTTTGTCCTTCACGTTCACGTCAGCCCCAGCCTCAATGAGGAGCGAAGCTACCTTCTGGCTTCCCGTCATAGCAGAGACTCTCATGAGTGGCGTCCATCCTGAACCAGTGTCCACAACATCTACCTGTGTTGCCAAAGGGACACCTGCCTCAGTCCGACCACTTCCCTGTGGCACTGTTGGGCAGACACACAGAGGGTGTGCACTTTCCCAGGCTCCCTGGTTTCCTGGACCTGGGGTGAGCCAGCTCAATTCATGCCTGTGTTCAGGGAGGGAATGTGCTGAGTCTCATAGGGGGTCCCCCTGTGCTGAGACAGCTCAAGAACTCCCTACTGGCATACTGTTCACTGTTAAAATGGAAACAAGACAGGGGAGGAAGGCACCCAACTGTACCTCACACTGGGCCCCTATGCTTTCCTTTGCTGTAGTTAATTATTTTAAAAACTTAGTTTTATTTTCTATGTTTGAGCATTTTGCCTGCACGCCTGTGCATCATGTGCCTACAGTGACCATGGAGGCCAGGTGAGGGGATCTTAACCCCTGGAGCTGAGTTACAGTTGTGAGCTACCATGTGGGTGCTGGGAATTGAACTCAGGTCCTCTGGAAGAGCAGCCAAGTGCTCTTAACCACTGAGCCATCTCTCCAGCCCCGACTATAATTTTACTAGTGTTCATTTTCTTTTTTCTTTTTTTTTGCTTTCTTAAATTGAGACAGGGTCTCACTGTGTAGACCAGGCAGAAATTCATCTGCCTCTGCCTTTGCCTCTCCACTGCTGGGATTAAAGCTGCGTGCCACCACACCTGGCTCAATAGTATTTTGTCATTTGCTCTATGTGTCATAGTGCTTTAAATCTTGCCTAGAACAAGACAGGGATGACAAGAGTGTACGACTTTGTACTTCACACAAGCTTACAACTTGGGCAGAGAGACCAGATCCACCACACAAACTGACTTAATGCATTCATGCCCAATGCTATCTCCAAAACACTATGTGCCCAGAAGTAAGAGGGTCAGTGTTCATAACCCAATTTATAATCGACTCTTTCAATTTAGTCTTCAAGAAAAAATCATGTGGAATAAAAAGACATAGATCTCACCTTTCCAAATTCTAGGCTATCCCCAATCAAACCATGAAGAGTAAAGAGGGAAATGAGAGATCATGGTGGTATGCACATGTATACGCATGCGGGGGCGGGGGGAGAACGAGAGAGGGAGAGAGAGAACACTACAGAACCATTCCTCAAAGACGCAAAGGTGACCCACAGTTGAAGTGACCCATCAAAGCCAAATAACCAACAAGAGGCCAGCAGGAGACTCTGGGAACATCCAGTTGTTCAGATACATGAACCTAATGGATCCTCTCTGTCCCATCACCTCCCCTCTTCATATAAATAGCCAACTTATGGGCTACAAGCTCTGCTGTGTTTGAATAGCAATACAATAAGAACCACCTTGACAAGAGGTTTTAGAGTCTCCAAAGCACCTCACACGGCCTGGCTGG